GTATCGTTAAAAATTATTTTTTTATTTTGTACGAACAAAATAAATATATTGAAAAATATAAAAACAATAAAAAATTATACTTCAGAAGTTAATTTAGTATCAAAAACGTAAAATATTTGAGTAACCCAAGACATAGCCAAAGATTGCAGCGCCACAGCACTGACGAAAATTTAAATTTGCTGACTGGAATTCTTTCAGATGATTGACTTTCAGATAATCGACGCTCTACTGTATTTTCCTCTATGGTGCAGAAACTTGGACCTTGAGACAATGAGACATTAAGAGAATAGACACCCTAGAGCTGTAGTTCTCAATCTTTTTGAAGTCGGGGAAAACTAAACTTTGACATTTATTTTCTGCAGAATACTTACATCAGCTTTAAAGCAGGGGTGGCAAAGCTTTTTGAAATCAAGAGTGCACTCAGTCTAGTATGTGACACCATTGGCATTTGCTGATTACATTCCCATACAAAAATTATTTCACATTGTATTGATTTTTCTTTTGCAACAATTTTAAATTGGATATTTGGTTTTGTCACGAAATGCTTGAAGTGGCTTCACGGAGCACCCATGTTCTGTACACCATGGATTGAGAACCATGGCCATAGAGCCAGGCAATGGAGAAGAATAGAGGAAGTCATATGGAGTGATAAGGTGAGAAATGAGAAAGTCCCAAGAAGAGTGCTAAAAAAAAGGAACATATTAGAGACAATAAAGATGCAAAAAGCTAATTGAATGGGACACTTGATTCGAGAGGAAGGCTTATGGAATGATGTTATGGAAGAAATGGTTGCAGGCAAAAAGAAATGTGGAAGAAGAAGAATTAACATAGTGGATGACTTAAAACATTTTTATTTTTACTGCCAGACACAATAGTCCCTGTGATGACAAAGTTCTTTTCAGGGGCACCCATGACAATAAGCATTATTATAAGCAATTTGCACATTTTTTTGAGTTTTATCTCCATTAAAATAGATTATTATTTTGAAGTGATTCTTATACAAAAAATAATTAATTATACACTTTCAGTTGATTTCATGCTTCTTTCAATCAAACTACCATTTGTTTTTAAAATAATATACAGAAATTTTCTCCCAGCATTTCAATTTCGTGTAATAATTTTTTGACACTTGCACGATGCCTTTTTGCATCCCTTCCGGTGCCAAATTGGATGTTAGTGCATAATAAAATCACACATAAGTCGACATGCACATTATTTTGAAATCCATGAAATAGTTCAATAAAAATTTACAGCAACGTTACTTAATAACTGAAATGGCATTTGTTTATTTTCTGGTAGTACTAAAAAATATAAATTCTATTAATAGAATACACTCTAAGATAAAAAAACTATTGATACTATCACTTGAATAATATTAGGATAACATTTAATAATTATCCTAATCATAAACATGTATCATTACTTTAAAAAAAATTAATACAGGTAAGTATTTACATTACTATTAATCTATTTGTAATTTTACTAAAATGTGTTTTGTAATTATTACTGTAACTTTTTTCTATTTCTTAAATTTTAACCCTTAAGTTGGCATAGCAGCAAACAATATGTTACTGTAATGAAAAATATATTGCATTTATTTATTTTTACTCCAAAGTATCCTTAATTTGTAAATAAATAAATTACTGCTAGAATGTTCTGGTATATTATTCTGTAGTATTAGAATATAAACGTCGCTTAACCTGATTTTAAGATTAACGCCAAACGATTGTCGGATTATATTGGGCTATATTATTGCTACTATTAAGAATTAGATGTCAAGTAATTTAGCCTAGTGTTAGGCATTGGTACCATCTCTTGATAAATTTAATAATTAATTTAAAAGGTTCTGGAAAAAAGAATCAGTCAGAAGAAGGATTTAATCTTAAAATCCTGCTTCGGGACTCAAGTCCACAAACTCCCACACCTCACGTGTGGATTCGAATCCTGCTTCGGGCCAATTTTTTTCTTCCAGAACAGTCTAAATTAATTAATAGTAAAATTAATATAGTCCAATGTAATCTGGCAATTGCTTGGCAATATACTTAAATGCAAGATTTTATGTTTAGAATCAAAAATGCTTTGCAAAATTTGGCTTCGTGAAATTACCAGCAATTTATTTACTTACAATTATGATGCCAAATTTCCTAACCTTTCATGATATCTTTAATTTGCATAACTTTTATAGGAATTCATTATTTATCATCACACTTTGTATTTACACTAAAGAGTGATGATAAATAATGAATTCCTATAAAAGTTATATAAAAAATAAAAATTCAAATTCTTTTCATTGTTTTGTATTGTAAATTTCTTTTAGATTAATAATATCTAAAAGGCTGATTTATAGTCCTGTAGAACGGAGCTACAATACTATAATTCACGGCTTTTCTTAAATTGAAGTTCCACTGTTGTTAAATGCCAAACTACACAAAATTCGACACTTTCCCAATCTTGGTTCTATTAGTTTTCATTGTAACATATTTCTTATCTAATTTGGACATTTCATGCAAGATGATAAAGTCTCAATTACACTTCAATTTAATTGCATTACTTTCATTTATTTCCCAGTAAGTTCTGGTCTAGCATATGACTCAATGTTAAACAATATTCAACTTTGAAGTTTAATGCCAAAGAGATGTCATTTTGAGTTAGAAGCTGCACTGATTTTGATTTTAAAATCTTTACTACAGCAGCAGCTAGTGATCTTAAAGCTTTACACTGGAGTTGGACCATAAACCAGTCTTTAGTTTCAATTTGTTTTTGTTTTTAATTTTTAAAGAAAATTTTACAATAATATTTGGAATTTTAGACAGTGTTATTTGACAAACTAAAGTCTAAAATTTTATTTTACAATGATAATATTGTAATTTTTATTGTTAATAAAAATTTTGAAATGAAAAAAAAGGATATAATTATGTGTTTTCATGACTATTAAAATTGGTAATGCTAATAACAAAGTAAACCCAGTTTGTTACACACTAGTTACTTTCAAAGTAATGTTGGCCTTCTTAAGGGTTAATAGAAAATACAGAAAATTTCTAACGTTAAAATTTTGCATATTTTCTAAGAAACTCTTGTTTAAGATAGAACGAATAGAAAATTTAATTATTTAAAAGTAAAATTGTCACATACATGAATTAAGAGAAGAAAGAAACTTGTAAATTAATGATGTTTATTGACTGACAAGTTTGACATCTGATGCAACACTTGATCTTGAAACTGAAAGGAAATGCAAAAGTAAGAAAAAAGGAAGAAAGAAAAGAAAAGAATAAATTATTAAAAAGTATAGCTCATGTAAATTTTTCTATGTGCAATTAAAAAAGGATTTATTTTGAACTAAAAATTATAAATATTTGAATGATTATCACATCATTAAGATAGTCTTTTAACTTTGTTTTAACATATTGAATCACCAGTTCTTCTCATATTGATTTCGGAATTACCTGAGTGTTTTGGGTTTTAATACGTATCTTTAGAATTAAATTCTTCACAGATAAACTTTGAACATAATTTGTTTCAAAGTATAAAATTTATAGCAAATAGTAAAATATTTGAATTTTGCATTCAAAATCAATCAGTGTGTCTGTGTTATGTCTCGACACGTTTTATGCGGCTGCTTTTTAACAACTAACAATTTTAAATAATTTACGCGAATGTTTGAAATAAAATGATGTGACATCAATTACAGGCATAATGCACTTTCTCCTTTTTATATTCTTGATTAAGCACAATAAATTCTGTTTAATTCAAATTCCAAGGGATCCAGGAATAAATTAGATAAATTTTTCGAAGTCTGAATTATCAAAAATGCCTAAAAAAGTAACAATTCAGAAAAACAATGCAACTTTACACAAACAAGAATGATATATTGTATTTTTTCGAATCATCACAGTTAAATAAAAACACCGTAAAATTTCAAATCGAAGCCAACTTATGCTCGATCAATCGAATGCTACCAAATTTATTGAAGCAGAATGAAAATGTTGAGTTCTAGGACGAATGGTTAATATTCCAGAAAAATTTCATTTACGACAACAAACTGCGATATTCAATAAAATTTGACTAACAAAATCAAGTTACCTTTCTCATAGTTATGTAATAAAACATCATTTGTAATGAATAGTAAAGTAACTGTCAGTTGGACTCAAGGTTCAAAACAAACAACGATTCTTAATTTGTATTAAACAATAAAAATAATTTTTATGAATATTTTTTAATAAATATTTACTATTGTACTGTGAACTATGTGAATTAATATATTGTGTTGCACTGATTCTCCACAAAGAAAAGAAAGAAATACGATTCAATATTTATAAAATGTATTCTCGTTTGACTAATCTAACTTTTAAGATTTCGAATTAATTAAAGTAATGTAATGTTAATATCTGTTGAAAATCACAGTACAATCTACTACATTCAAATTAAACAAAATGAAATTATCCAATTTTAAGCCAAATGAAAGTGCATTGCAATAAACAGTAATGTAGATTCGCTTGACATTTACTAGAACTTTATAAACACACAACGTTTGTAGTATCAATGAATCTTTAATTCATTTCTAAATATAAATAGTAGTAGTTTCTTTCAGATCTTTTAAGTTTCAAAGCAATTATGATACCAAACGAAAGCTGGAAGAAATATATATATATATATATATTTTATAAAAACTGACATGGATATATTTTAAGTTAAATTAAAGAAAAAATTGAAAGCTGTATCTTGTGATACTTCAAATAAATTGTAACTTATGTTTTAATCTGTTCCCTAATATACTCTCATCTTTTCTACGAAAAGAAACAACATTTCTGTAAATAGGAGTTGTTTATCTGTGAAACTTTTGTCAAATTTTAATGAATTAAATTAATATTTAATTTATTAAAATTAAATATTAATTTTAATAAATTGATAATGTTTTTATTAATTTAAGCCTTTCTACAGATTTAAAGTTTATAAATATGATAAACTGAATTAGCTACTACAGTTAATTTAATGAAGCAAGCAATGATAGTGGATAAGATTGGAGAAGCACAATTTTTGACCAGATTAATTGACCAGACAAACATTTTGACCAGATTAATGGGCCATCTTTGAGCTGCTGCATCCAAAGATGGTTAATTAATTGGTTCGAGAACATTAGCATCTCTCTGAACTTGCTGCTGATAAAGGTATATCACTTACTTGATTATAAGTCAAAACATCAATTTTTTTTTAAATGCAGGAGGGGGTGAAATACATAATTTCATAAATTTTTCTTGAGTTATAAAAATTTATGAACAATTCTGTTTTATAATACATTCTTTAATTATTGATTTATTATAGACAGGCATACAACTGTCTATTGATGACTTTAATAATTAAATAATAATAAACTTTTTAAAGTTTTATGGTAGAAATGACTTTGCATGAAATTTAAGTATATAATCATACGGTAGTATTCCAGTTTATACTAAGTTATGTAAACGGGCATTTTTTCTGGATTTTTTAAATTAACCAATACATTATTTATATATTAAAATCATCAATGTAATATTTAACAAATTTTTTTAAAATTATAATAATAAATTAGAAACATTCATAGAATATTCATTTATACTTTTTTCTCCAATACAGATTTCTATTATTACTATTATAATTAGTAAATTTATAAAATAAAGTTAAATTTTCTTAAATAAAGAAAAAACACACTTCAAACGGAGTATAAATTATGCAAAAGACAGCAAAATTAAACATTCTAATACAATGATTCTCAACCATCTGAGGCCACAAACACCATTTGTATACTTTTTATTATACAGAGCATTATCGTCAATATATTTCAAAATCAATAAGCAATTTTATTTTTATTTGGTTTTATTTGATTACGGCAACACAACACGTGGGTTATCTATGGAGGGGAAATGCCTCCCAGAGGACATTTAGGACACTATTTTGGTGTTACTAACATGAAAAATCCTGGAAAACTCCAAGTGGCTAGTCTGCTGGCTAGGCAAGAACCCATGACTAACTAGTAGTGTTCAGTGGTTTTACTATATTTATTATTCTCATTAAACAATGAAGCAGTAAATTAATAAACTTTATTCTACTGGTTCAGAAGTGCTATCTAGTACTTTTGTTACTGCTTAACTCTTCATTTCTAGACATATGTAAGAACAATTCTTTTGTTAAAGGAGCACAGGGATAAAAACAATGTTACCTTAAAGATTTCTTATTTTATTTTTATTCTTATATTCCCTTAGCAATAGAAATGTTCTTAAATATTCCTGAACATGAAAGATAAAGCACTAAAGCATTTAGTTTTGCTAATTTCAGTATATTTTATACTCTGTTCAAGTTTGGATATTTTTAAATTCTCTTAAAATTAGGTTTAATGTAAGAAAATAAGTTTTAATTACTTACTTGACAAGTTTTCGTTTAATGCCGTGTCTTCTTCCGATGCGGATGCGCCTTCGCTCCAATGATTTTGAGAATTGAGAAGACCGTTGGTATCTTCTTCCCTTTTACACTGAGGATAAATTATTCCTTCGCCCCTACTAAATATGAATATTTTTTAAAATTAGTGAAAATATAACCTTTATTTACATAATTTATATATTTTAAAATTTTATATATATTTAATTGTAAATAAAGCACTTTATGGAATGTAATATGCAGTGCATTAAGATCATTAACAAAATTTTTCAAACTCTCATCTGATAATTCAGTTCATTTTAATATACAGATCAAATTGCATATCAAAATGCAAGATATTTAATATTATCTAGCATAATCTAATGCTTATAAAATTTCTTAAAGACAGTATTTATTAAACTACTGTTTAGAACCAAAATTATTCTTTAATCAATATCTTCTACCATTCTATGGCATCCTCTTCCACTTGCAACAATTAAAAACAAATGAGGAACGAAATACACTTCTAAATTATAACAATAGTGTCAGGTTCATGCATTATTATTATACTATTTATTGTTTTACAGCTGTAGATTTAGACTTACTCCCACCAAATTTTCATTTTTTTTCATGAAAATGTCTAAAATTAATGTTACAGTTTGCTTCTTTCTTTTATATCTGTTTGCTTTATCATATTTCTTTCTTTCTATTATTCTATCATTTGTAAGTACACAAACAGAAAATCTTGATAAACACACAAATAATAAAGGTCTATGAATTATTTAAACTATAGTTCCATGCATAAGATTTTAAAGTCCATATACGTAGATCTAGAGTGTTACCTCTTTTACTCGTGATACATCTCTATTAAAGTGCAGTATATAACTCTTCTACTTTTACAGAAAATATGTAAGTTGCAAAATGATCATAAATGCTTCTCGCTTTACTTCCAGCTCTCTCTTAAGGACTTAACAATGAAAAATTTTAATAAACAAGAATAAAATTTAAATGATAGAGGGCACAGAGTCTTCTATTTTCTTTTATTCTTTCTTCAATACATCAAAAGATACTTCCTACATAATACTACGAAGTATTTTGCATTGTTAAAACAAAAATTTTATAAACTTGCTTATTGTCAGTGTAAATACAAAAACTATATAAATGACTTATGAAATCTTCATTTATATATTTACCCAGATTTTCTGATTTATATACTTAAATTGTTGATTCGAATTTAAAATTGAGGAGGAGATCTTTCGGGATTCTTATTTAAAACATTGATCCAAAAACAAAGTGTAAGAAATCTCAAAGAAATTAAGTTCCGTTTGACTTCTTAAATACCAAACAGGTTTATATTAATTGTAAATTGTATAGAATCAAATATAACAGAATAATAATATGCTTAATAATCTATTATCTCTAGTCTATCAAAATTACTACTGTTTATTGGAGATCTTCCAATTGTTTGCCATAAGTCCCAAGCTTCCAAAGGTTTTTTGATATATAAAGAGGTATTTAATGGAAGATTTACTTTTAAAAGTAAATAATATTCTATCCAATGGACAATGAAGTTTATTCTAAAGTTTATACTCCCCAATAATGATCCAAAAAGTTTGAAAGTACTAGGATTTATGGCAAACAACTAGAAAGATCTTCAATAAATTATCAAGACTGGAGAATTGAAGTTTTCTCATACAAGTTACTTCTATAAAAACAGAATACAACAACAAAACTTTAATACTACTGCATCATACATCATTAATATATATCCCCAATCTTAATATAATTTGTTTTTTTTTCTGGTACTAATTTACTTATTAAAAAACATTAGCATAACAGAAAAATTGTAAGAAAGCATGCTGACAACAACAACAGCACAAAAAGAACACTGAATGGAAAGATTTTGCAAATTTAGAAAATAAGTCCATTGAAAATATTTTTAAAAATATTTATATATATGACATTAAGTATTTAAATAATGCTTTGACTAGAGCCAAAATTTGATCAACTGTGGAAGAAATTTTGTATTTTCATCATAACTTATTTAAGATATAAATCTTAGATTTCTTCACTGCAGAAATTTATAATTTAGGAAGAAATAGTGTAGAATTGATACATTCTGCTTTATTGAAACACATCATTTCAATCATTTAAACTAAAATGTTTTGGATATTCTGACATCTTGTGACTCCTTAAAAATAAACAAGTGAAACAAGACATCCCAATTTTTAATTTTTCATATTTCTGTCCCATGGACATTAAAGAACCTTTATATAAAATCAAACCCATTGTTGATTTAGCCAGATCCAAAACAGGGGTGGTCAGGTGGCGAGGACAAAGCTTGGCACATCCAGAACACGCGACCAATAAAAAATTCCTGGAATTCTCCGTCCAGATTTGATTCTGAAATCCCCAGAGCGGTAGGCCAATGATTCTACTGCTTCAGTCATTTGACCATAATATAACTTATTTATTTGACGTTAAGATGCTTTGGAATCCGATTGGTTGCCATAACATTGTACAATGTAAATTATGAGAAAAATTAAAATAATAATATTATTATTATTATGAAAGTTTAAGACTGATCTTTCATCCAAAGCAAGTACTCACTCATTCAACATGGATGTTGTATTTCACTCAGATTTTATGAGTTAAGATGCTTTATCTTTAAATTTACAAACTATTAAATGCCATACAGGTAAGTCTTGTTAATATTTAATTTGTATTTGAATATTCTTATTCTTATCTACAGAATACTTTTGAATCATCAATAAAGCAAAATGCACCATGATTAAACAAAAGTTTATTCAAAAGGAGTAGACTTGCAATGCCAAGAGAAATTTCAAATTAATGCAAAAAGAAGTTTTTAAAATAATATAACAATGAACTGCTTTACCGAAGTTTGTTTAATAACAAATTTCTCAAGTACTTTAAGGCAATTGAGCCCGTCATTGGAAGATGCGCCAACAACGGGCTCAATTGTCTGAAAGTACTCGAGAAATTTCTTATTAAAGCAAATGCTAGTAAAAGCAGTTTATTGTTTAGTTTCAAATGTTAGAGTCCATAATAACTAAATGCTCCAAATTTAAGTGTTATTGGCTAGTTAGCAGAAAGTAAAGAACACGGCCAACTCACATCACAGTCTACTTCTTGCAAATAAACTTTTCATTTGATCACCCAGTTTACCGATGCAGCTTAGCTTAGCTTTAATCATATACATAATTATTTGATTTTGGTGATAACTAAATAGAGGAACAGGTCAAAGATTAAAACAGTCCACTACAAACATTTAATCTTATGCAAATAGCAAACATGCTAATTGCTATTCATAATCCCCGTGGCCATCAGAAATAAATATTAAAAAAACATTTTTAAAAATTTATTCTATAAGAGAACACTTTAAATACAAAATAAGAAATAAAAAAACTTTTTAAAAATAAAATATTGAAATGAAATTAAATATTATATTAATTGAATAACTTTTTAAAATGAAAAAAAACTAGTGCTAACCTTGGAGGATCAGTGCTGCCCATGGAGTTGTATGTGCTGCCTGGTTGTGCGCGAGTAGGATAAACGATCCCATCACCCACACTGGTATCGAGAAGGAAAAAGCCATGTCAGAAAGCATTTCTGATGGCCAAGAAATTTAAGCTTTGTTTAAAGCAGTAGACTTAATAAATGAAGAAAATAAGCAGAGAACACGTAACATGTAGAGTAAGATAATTTGGTGATTGTCAAATTTCATTATGTGAGTAAGACAATTTGTGACATTTCTAATTTAGACAATTTAAATGTTTATTCACAAATTTATTAAGAATTAGATAGAAAACTGACTTCAGTAACTTAAATATTTATTTAAAATTGAGATAATGTTCAGAAAACAGGTTTCTCTTCCAGATAATCAAAAGAGATATGAATGTTAACTATTTTAAAACTAGTACCAGATTATAATTAATATATATATATTTTTAATAAAAACACGTACACTGGTGATTCGACATGGTCTTTTGGGCAAAAGATTTCACCAAATATTTTTGCCACACATACAAATATACAAACTATCTGCATCACACGGTAGCCACCGTATATAGACTTACATACACTGCATTCAGATGCCACACCATTCATTTCGCGGTTTTTTCTGTAATGAAACACTGAAGGGTTAAGCTATGTTTATGCAGTGATGAGTATAAGTGTAACTGACGAAATATTGCAAACTGAGTGAACTGATTGTTAACTGCCAATTTAACTTAGTATTCTACAGAAAGGTGAAATAAAAATGGCAGAATCCAAAGAGGCTGGATAACTCGAGATCTATCCGCATTTGAAGCATGCTATATCACGTCACCAGTGTACAAAATTTAATATATTTTTGTTTAAACTTCTAAATAAATTGATGTTATCACATTAACAAGGAGATAACATTCAATATTAATATTCTTCATTAACTAATATTTTATTCTAATAAAAATAAGAATTATTATTTTTATTTATTTAATTCACAAAAGGTAATACTTCAAAGAATAAGACGATGTCTCCCCAAACAAGAACTCCATTATAAACTTGAAAACTAGAAAAGTTCCTAAAAAGTATGCTTAAAATCCAATTTAAAGTGCTTTCCCCTGAAATAAAATATTTTAACTAAACTAGCATACTTGGGATATAACCTCCCCATAGAGAGTTGATGAGAAATTTCTCACACAGACTTCTAGTGAGCACAGCCCAAAAGCATTAGAAATATGTGCAAATAGAATAAGTAAACTCTACGGTATTTCCTATCAGATATTTTCTTAAAAAGTATTCACTCTTAAGCTTTTGCTACTGAAAAAGCAATTTAAATTAAATTTGTTTGAGGAGCTTTCTTAACAAATATGTACAGTACATTTCACAAATCTTGGATGGATTCTATGATGCACGATGACAAAGAGTCCATACTGAATGTAAAGGGTGTTAAAAAGATTAACATAATGTGAAACACATCTTTATTCATATTCTCTTTAAATGTTCCAGAGACTTCTTTGGGTAATGCGCAACTCCTGGCTGAGATCTGTGAAGTGGCCTACACATACTGTAGAGTTAACTCTCGGTATTTGCGAGTTAGGTTCCTCAAAAATCTCGCAAATACCAAACAGGAAGGCCCGTGGGAAAATCGAGTTAGGTTCCCATGGGTCGGGCAATGTCGTCAAGCTAAAGCAGGCCACCATCATAAAAATATTTAAACTTTTGCAGGTGATTCAATAAGCAAGTAATAGCAACTAATGTTTATTTTATTTACTGTATATGCTCAATTATATTAAAACATTAATCTTACTTTTTATGATGATTGTGAAGAGTTTTATAAGTTTTGAAAAACTGAGTTAATGTTACTTGACAGACTTTTTTGTGTGTTCTTCGAGACCACACAAGGGAGCCAGGCTATTTTCAAAGATTGTTTGTTTAAGAGGTGATTGTGCTAGAGAATAGGATCTGGTTCTTGCAACTCTCTGCACAAGCTATCAATAGATACTATATTTTTTTGAATACAGTGGGTGATTGGTTAACAAACATAATCCGTTCCAAAACTTAAGTTTGCTCTCCTAATTGTTTGTTAACCGATTATCGATTTACCATAGGTTTTTAGGAGAATTTGATTAATTCGTTCTGGAGATCCCAAAAAAATAAAAAAATATATACTTCTTTACTATGTTTATTTATATGTAATAATAAAAATACATATATACACAGTCTTGCATTTTTATTAGTCATGTTTTTTCCATTTGTGGGGGTTAAAGAATCTGTTCAATGTTGATTGCTTTTCTCTCTTCAGGATTTTTCAGAAATAATTAATAGCATTGCAATTGTAGAGATCCCCAAGCCTATTAACCTCAACCTGGTTTGGATGCCATTCTATAATCGTTGTTCTGACATCCTCCCACTTCTTGAAAAGATCTTTAATAGTAGATATTGGCATTAATCCTTTTTTTTTTGAAGAAATCATATCTCGCCAAGTTTCTTGGTGTTCTTCATTCAAGAGTTCTTGGCATTCTTCTGTCGTCAGATCCATTTCATGTTCCATTACGAGTTCTTCAATGTTCTTTATTTCTCAGATGTAATTTTTGTTACACCTTTAGCTACTGGAGTCTTCTTGATTATACTGTATCTTTCTTAGATAAGATTGAACTGTGGTCTACTGTACGTGTTCAAGCCATACTGCCCAGCAACATCAAACATCTTCCCACTCTCTACCTTTGCTATTATACTCTCGCCTTTCGAAAATAAAAACTGACGCAAAACTTAATGAGTATCCACCTGACAGTATCGCGAATACTATAAAAGAATTCTTTCTGTCATAAAAATAAAAGGTTGGAATTAAAAGGAAGAGTTTCAAAGTTGGAGAAATACTAGCCAATCAATATATACTGGGTTCAGCATCGATATCAACGTCTCCCACGCTCTGAAAAGTTTTGAATTGTTGCCCAAAGACAAGGTATTCATTATTTTATGTTGCTTCTTCTTGTGTTTGTTCTGTAAGTTATTTGTTGTTGAACATAAAAATCTTTCGCAAAAGTGTTCGTTATCCAATTTGTTCGTTAACCAATCACCCACTAGAAATTGTCATTGGCAGCTTTGGCATTTTCTTCCTGTTCATCATCACCCCCTTTGCTGTCTTGCAAAATTTCTATAGCCATCATTCAGTTGCTTATTTGTGGGTTCTGTAAGCGAGAAACTGTCCTCAAAATCCTCACTGACTTTGCTATCTTCTATATTATCATCGTATATACTCTATTCACATAACTGTGAGATAAGCTTTGTCATATATGATTTGACACAATATACCGTTGACTTCAGTTTGGTAATACAATAGTTACTGTACTACTGTACTTTGCTCAGTTATGTCAAAATAATGTAAAAATTGGAGATAACAGAAAGTATATTTTTTACAAGTAGTGTACAATAATGTAAAGGTAAAAGATTATCACAAGATTTTCTGCATTTAATACCAGAGCTCGTTTACTTAAAGAGAGAAGTAGCAAGTCTTTCAAGAATTGCACCTTATCTAAAAGACTGTGGCAAAACTATTGAATACCGAAGAATAACTATTGCAGTAGCAATTTGTGAACATGCAAATTGTCACGTGGTTGGTCACAACATTTCAATCACAAATAAGTAAACATACAAATACCAAGTCACCTGTACAACTTTTCTTAACTATTTGGTTAATTTTTAGCAACCAATTTCTCGAATAACTAACTTAAGAATTAATTAATTTCACTTGTATCAATTGCAAGATTAGTTAAACGTATTAAATATTAACTTATAAGATTATTTAAGTTTCTCTATTTATTTTTCATTTTTAAAAAACTTTATTTGCGACTAGTATTTTGTTGTTTAATTCAATTAGTCATAATGTTACTTACTATTTTCATTGTTAAAATTTAACTTTCTTTTTAAAGTATATTAAAATAACAGTAATAAATTCTAAATTTTATAAGTTAAAATGTAATATTCATAGCATATCAATATAACTGGATTGGCAAAGTCAAAAGAATTACACATGCAAAGTATTTAAAAGGTTAGAATGCAGCTAACAGAACATAAATAGTAATTAATAGAAATAAAAAGTATGCAAAGTCCCAAACATCTCCACTGTCCGAATTTAACAATTAAAAAAAAGTGTTTAAGGTTAGATTATTATGGCCTTGTTGAAATACAGTATGCCCTCCATATTTACAGGTTTCGCATCTCCAGATTCAACCAATTCCAAAAAATAATAATAATAATAATAATTTCAGAACATGCCAAAAAGTTTATATTTTAAATACTCCATGTGTTACTCTATGCATTTCTCTTTCTGGTCATTAAACAAAAACAATCTGTAAGTGTTGAAAGATAGAAAATGTTATGTTATTGCCAACATATGCTATGAAGTTAGGTGTATGATGGTTGAATCTTTACTGAACATGTAGAAACTTTTTCCTTGTCATTACTCCCTAAACAATACAGTATAACAACTATTTACATTGTATTAGATATTGTAAGTAATCTAATGACGATTTAAAGCAGTGGTTACAAATTGTGGTCCGTGGCCTTAATGATTTATTTTCTAAAAATCAATGTTTCTAACATCTTGCAGAGACTAAGACAGAAAAAATTCAAACTTCTAACTGTTTACGTAATTTGTAAAGGCCTGACAACAAAAGGGTCTTTGTTAGAACATTTTTTTTTAGTTTACGATACATTTTGGTTAACTGAATAGTAAAGAATATGGCCCGCGTCTGATATGTGTGTATTTGACTGGCCCTTTGCAGCGTTTAAGTTTGAGATTCTTTACTTAAAGTATAGAGAAGAATTGCATATAAGATATATATACAAATACAATAATCAAAACATCTAGCAACTTAAAAGTCGCCAGATTTTAAAGGAAATTTGATTATTGTTGTTACAATGACTCACTCAAAGTCAGAACTTATCTTAAAGTTTCTTCCCAACAAAGTATTGCTCGAAGATCTAAGGATGGCGTAATACTTAATATTGTTACTTTCTATTCATACAATATATGCAATTTTATGTAAGGAAGTAAGGAATTTGAACAGATTTTGCAGATTTTGGCA